TGAATGAGTACAGAAGCATGGAAGTTTCACTAAAACATGAAATTTTTACAACAAATAGTCATAATAGATGATAGAATTATTTAACTTGAATCTCAATAACCAATTACTGTTACTGACAATTCTGAGACTGGTTATTTTCCAGGTATAATGCAGAAATTTTTCAGAGTTTTTTTTTTTTTTTAAACTGCACTTTTTTTAAAAAAAAAAAATATATATATTTTCTGACTATTCTCTACTTTTAAGAGGCAAAATAAAATTCTCTAACAATTCCAGGTCTTACCTGTTCTCCCTGACCCAAGGGAGCCCTGTTTATAATAGGATTTTATTATACTTTGTAGGTTTCAAACTAGAGTAATGTCTCGCTCACAAGCTCAATTTGTCATAAATCAACATGGTTTTTTAATAGCTTTATCGTCCATTTCTCACAATGTTTTAAAAGAATTGAATTTTGACTTTGAGCAATCCCTTTTTAATCAGCTCGATTCGCAGGAATATTGCTGCTCAATCCAAGTTGAATATTGATCTTTTTCTAGTAAATTCTATATGGTTTTTCAAATTCTAACATAATACAATGTTATCACAATACACAAATTTTGAATTTATGTAATCTATGTTTGGAATGCTCAATGAACAATGTATGATAATTCCATTACAAATTCATGCTGTTTTCTGATCGTAACTTATTGTTTTTTCATCAATTATAATAGTAACTTAAACATCCAATATTTATATTAGCAAAACTTTTTTTTTTAATATACTGCCCTATGATTTTCCCAATTCTTTCCTTACTGACCTGCAATTTTTTAGGCTTAGTATAAAACCTGTGAACAAAAATCAGAACCAAAACAAGTACAAAAAAATTCATTAAAAGACAAACTAATACAACAGTAGTAACATTCTATCTTAATTTTAACTATTATGTATTTAGCCATTACTTTTATATGGTCTTTTGAGTATTTTCTTTCTAGAAAGTTATTCGAAGGAGGTATAGTACAATTACCAGCACCTTAAACAATTGAAAATCTTTTAAATAATCACCCCATAGTCTATTAGCAATCGCATAGCTATTTATAAATAAAATTATACTAAATAAAACAGTTATTTCTTTTTTTAATTCCAGGTGTATATCTTGAAGCAAAAATTTTATATCTTTTTATCAAAAAGAATAAAAATTAATTTAAACTAATTTGTGCTGATTACCAAACCCAATCTATCTCTTTATGTTTTTCTTATTGCAGAAAATTTTAACTTCATTAGACAGATGAATAAAGAAATGAAATGCATGAAAAAATATCAAGAATGAAGTACATGAATAGAATGTAACTATTTTTAATAGAAGGAAATAACTGAGCAAATAAAATATATAATAGTACCTAAAGCCTTACTTAAATGTGACAAAAGCAAAATGTGGAGGATTACCAATAGCTTTTATTTTGCGTGGGTTCACCCTCAAAGTGGAATTTAGTAACTTTCGAAGTTGCTAAAAAATAAAGGAAAATATAGCACACAGAAATAAAAAGTTTCAAAATTCTAATGAAAGCTTTAATCATACATTTATACTTACACCATAGCCAACATATTTAGGAAGATTAGTTATTTCGATCTTGTAAATTTCAGAAGTGAAATCATTTAGCTTTGTATATGAATAAAGATCAGGCTCTTTTTTAACATCAACGTTTTCAGCAACACTTGAAGTGCTTTGACTTTCAGAAACATCACACTTTTCAAGTTTAACACCAATGCTCGAAGTGTTTTGACATTCAGAAACATCACACTTTTCAAGTTTAACAACAGTGTCAATTGCAACTTCCATGTCACTTTCAAAGTGCTTTTAGTGATGAGATTTATGAGGCAAACCTAAAACAAATCTAATTTCATTGAAATTATGCTTAAAAATTAGCAAAATATAAAAATTAAAGATGTCATCTTATAAATAATGTTACATATTTTTCATTCAATCCTTTTTTAAATGATAAAATTTAAGAAAATTTATTAAAAAATTTAACAAAGTGAGGGATAAAATAAGTATTGTAATAAAGACAATTTTAATTAGTGATAAAACAAACATACCAGAATAGATAAACAGAAATATTTTATACCATTTACCAAGTAAATGTTATTAAAATTGGCATAAATTTTAAGAAAGTTTCTCTCTAACTAGAGATCCCTAAAAATATATCAAAAGGTCTCTGAGACAGGACATTATTAACAAAAATAATAATTTTCAAATGCATTTTTACAATTTATACAGCTTGTACTATAGATAAAGTAACAGATGTTATTAAAAAATAGGAAAAAGAAAAATATTTATTTCATAATCATTAAATATCGCTGATATTAGTTTTCTAAACAATTTTTAAAAAAACATCAAACAACTTAAACTGTCATAATATCTAATGCTAGAACTATTAGTAAAAGTAATTTTTCAAAGCCTCCTTAATAAATTACTGTAATTTCCAGTTAACTATCATTGGTGGTGTACAATCTGCAGGTGAGAATATCAGCCCTGAACAAGAAATTTCAATGGATAATCCACAGATTATTGGTTTGTTTAACGTAAGAGAAATACCGAAGCTCCTCTCAACAGCAGAATCCACATCATACATGAGCCAATGGGCATTGGCAGGGAAGCAGGCAAAAAGACATGCAATTATATTTAGGGAAATTTGCACAGCGAAAAACATGATGGATGAGTTTTCTGTAAGTTCAATTTCACCAATTAGGTTCCCATTTGCAAACGTGAATTTTTTGCATCCAGTGTGAAATGTCTCTTACACTTTTACCACTGACTTCAGTAAATAGAAAATTCACTACGTCTGATGCCCAAAAAAAAATTTCAGCAGATTATCCCCACTGATGACTTTTCCTGGTTTTTTTTACGAAGAAATCCACAGATTATAGGAAGGAAATTATAGTTATTGAAATTTTTGAACGACTTTTTGGATAAAAGCTTAAATTACCCCTTCAACACCATGTCTTAGTTCCTCTGGGCACATAAAAATTTTAAAACATTAATCTACCACCATATTCATTTATTGTTATTATACCATTAACCCAAAAGAAATAAATTGTTATAAATATCGAAAATAATAGCAACTAAACTGAGACCAGATATACTTAGTCTTGGAACAACCTGTGACATTATTAATATGCACCAGTATATGTGTACATTGACATGATTAATATGCACCAATATATGTGTACTGGTTCTTGGATTGTTGATGTAGGAGAGAATAATTAGAAACGTAAAAAAGTTCTTAATGAAATAATTTCATAGCTTTATGTTTAGTTAGGTTACAAACAGAGTATATTTTCATATTGTTATGTCATGCCAACTACAATCACCAAGACACTTAATTACAACTATTTTTTCGCATTAGCGATTTCAGTTTTCCCCAACAATTACATATATGAAAATATCCCACAACTGAAATAATAAATAAAACTAAAATGTCAAATTTTTTTCAGTTATTCAGCAAAACGTTTTTCTAAAATGTAGGTACTGTATATAAATATAGTAAATACTGTAAAAAAAAATAAGTACGGTATATAAATAATAATAAATAATATACTAATAATAATATGCTAAT